GAACAGAATTACTTACATCTTGTGAAAAAGTGGAAATAAGTTTTACTATTTACGGTGACGTAATCACTTTAAGGATCACGCTGGTCAGGTGAAGAAAATCGCCGCCTTCTTGGACAAGAAGTTGACGGATGAGCAAATTCAACAGATCGTCGAGAAGACAAGCTTTTTAATGATGAGGAGCGACACTTTCTCTAATTATTTGCATATAAAGGAAATACAGTCACCGACTGCCACCCCATTCCAAAGAAAGGGTATGCGCCTACACGTTTATGTATCAAGGGTCTTGGCACCCTTTTTTGTGAGCATAAAACACGATAAGCGAGGTGATCCTGCGCGGGCAGAACAATTAACCTTGTGAAATATCGCATTATGGTGCATCAGACAATATTGCCACAGTTTATCATAATCAGATCCACACACCGCAAGCACGCGTACATCATGCAATTTCGCCCCAAAGGCATTCCTCTTATCGATGCCCTTGATCAAATCTATATAAAACCAGGTGGATCTTACCAGGTATCTTAAAACTGGCGTCTATATAGGTATGCATTCCCGATTCAAAAATCAGGAGTGGCGCTCATACCTAATTCTCCGTACGCTCTCCGTAGCAAGAACACACAGTTCAAACATGTGTTTTAAGCATTATATATAGGCCTATTTCATGTTTTTCTTTCTATTTAGGGGTAGTTGGCGATTGGAAGAACCATTTTACCGTAGCCCAAAGTGAGGAATTCGACAAAGTATATCAGGAGAAATTCGCAGGAACAGGACTGCAGCACATTTTCGAGATTTGATACATTTGAAAGAATTGAGGATAATGTCGGGATGACAGAAATGTTACAGTTGAGTTATGACTTTTTTCAAGTGTTTTATGTCTATCAGTGGCACGACGTCATGGCTGTCTACGAGAATTAAACAATACAGCACAGCGTCCTAATACAACTAATATAATTGGAACTAATTTACTCATATAACTGCTGTTAATTCGTATTTTTAATATGGGATTTACGATTTGTTCGATCATCTATTTGTAGGAAATAAAAACATTGTCTCACTCTCTCTCTCTCTCTCTCTCTCTCTTTCTATATATAATATATATATATATATATATGTGTGTGTG